TGCTTAAGGCTGATGATGATTGTGGTTCTCTCTGATAGTTCGTCACATTAGTGTAATTTTAATCTATAGCTTCAGTGTAATTTTAATCTATAGCTTTCCTACTTATAAATCAAGAACATCACAGAAAAATGGCTGTCCCTAAAAGTCATTTATATCCCCAGTGCAGAAGATCCATAAGTCTGAAAGATTATGCCTCTTATTATTACTGTGTATGTTAAAAATTTGTTTTTTGGAGAATTTCTTTTCCTGCTCAGTAGAACTCCTGCATACTGGCAAGAAAACCAACATGACATCTGCCTTAAAAATTTAACTGTGTTCTCACTTAAAACATAGAGCATTTGATATGTGTTTATTCTTCCTAAGGACTAAGATAATGCAAACATTTATCCACTCAAGCTCTTTAATTGTGCCTAATGAAAAATGGAGCTTAAATAAAAATTATATCTACCTGAACTCCTGTCTATCATCAGCAGCATTAATTTGGAAGAATATGGATCTGTGGCTTTTTTGGATTAAGCTCTTTCAAAAGAAATTTTGGTAAATCAGAAAATGTGTAATTTTAAAATTAACTGTGAGAATGCTTTAAAATAATTTTTTTAAAAAGAAGTATTTTGAAAAACAAAATATTTCATTTAAAAAATCTTAAACATTTCAACTTTCCTTTTTCTAAGTTTAAATAGAAACTTCTTAAATAAGAAAAAAAAGAATAATAAATAACAATAAATAAATTAGAAAAAACTAACTATAAAAAAAAGAGAATGAGTTTATAAAACTTGAAGCTAGCTGAGAAATATGTCATTAAAGGTTTGAGACTGAGGCTATTTATATTAACTGCCACTGACAAAGGCCAGTAGTCAACATCTAGATTGAGACACTGTATTACAAGAAGTACAATAAAAAAAATCTAAAATGGAATTCATTATTAATCATAAAAGGAAGCAGAAAACCAAGCTTGTTTTAACAACTTTTCTCCTGTGGAGATTACATGGTTGAGAGCCCAAATTTGCTAAGCTCACACATTTGTAGAGAAGTTTTACAGGTGACCTGGTATGCAAACTGCTGTTGCAATATGAATAATCCATAGGTTTTACAAGTTTTATTGAAACAAGTCTCCTCTTCTTTGCATTTTTTTTCAGTTGATTATGAAAACCAGAATCTTCTGTGGGATAAAGTTTTATACCTATCCAGGCTTACTGAAATAAGTTATATTCTGCTACTATCAAAAACAAATAAAAGAAGAAAAGAAAATTAAGGAAATAAAAAAATCAAAAACCACAAAACCATAGAATAGGTGAGGTTGGAAGAGACGAAGCCCCCTGCTCACCCCTCCTGAAGTCCAGAACCATGTTCAGTTGGGTTTTGAATATCTTCAACCACCCTCATAGTGAAGAAGTGTTTTCTTGTGTTCAAGAGGAATTTGTCATGCTTTAATCTTTGCTCACTGCCTCTTGTCCTATAACTGGGTATCGCTCAAAGAATCTGGGCTCATCCTTTTGCCCTCCCAGCACACATTTGTAAAGCTCTGGTAGTTAACCAATATTCAATGATCCGAAGTTCTAAAATAATTATTTTTCTATCTCTTATACTAAAAATTTTAGGGTCTGTTATTTACATAAAGATTCCTTAAACTCAGATAACCTTAGCAAGTTAAAGAACGCTAAAAAAAGTATAAATTTACATTTCCAGAGCAGTGCAAGGTGATAATTATATAAGAGTAATCACATTTTGGGGGATCCTCTTTTCTGCTTTCAGACCTGATTCAGCTGCCAAGTATCCATATTAGCATCACCACATGTACATTTCTTTTGTAAAAAAGAATTACAGGATTACTGCTGAGCAGTAATTATGAAGTTCCTATATCTGGAAGCCATGGCTTCTGCAAAGGAAATCTGAAATGTCAATCTGCCTAAGGCAGAGTATTAATATCACTAAGGGCTACAGGGAGAAAGCCATATCACAGCTAGAATGGGCTCTGCAGCTGGAAAAGGCTGCTGACAAACAGCCCCTTAGGGAGAAGTACAGAGTCTTTATCTAGCCAGAGCCAGCACTTTCAGCCCAAAGGGAAACCCAGCATTACACCAGAAAAGGAACAAGCCTGGAACTTGGCCATAAGGACCCTTCGGAGTCAGTGAAAACTTTGAAGAACCAGAGATACCAGCAGAGGACTCCTGAGGGTCTAAAGACATGGCCAGACCAGAGTAAGCCACAGCTGACACAAGAGAGACCAGCAGCCAAAATCCAGAAGAGAAAATATCGCTGAATATCCTCAGGAAAGAAAGGAAGAAAGGGAAAAATAAAAAGAAGAAACCCATCTGGTTCAATAACTTGAGTGTAAGAAGTGATCTAGTGTTAGTTACCTTAACTGTATAAACTGTCATAAGCAGATAAATAAATGAAGAAAAACTATATACTTTCTGAAGCATGATGCCAGCTGTATAGGCAAATATGATCATAAACACAGTCATAGCTTTCAGCATGTTACTGTTCAGCATGATTTGAAATAAAAATGTTTTTAAAAAGAAGAGTAGACTGCTATGCAAATAGAAGTACATATAGAGTATATTTAACTGATATAGACATTTGTAAAAATCATAGTTATCTGTGTCTTCGTTAAGAAGATACTGTGCAGTAGAAAGAAGGATACAGTGTAAAAGTATCATTTTTTTAATCTCTTTATAGAGCAGCAGGATCAAAAGTATCCTACTTTCATGGTATCATTTTTTGATGAATGAGCATAGATACTTCCACTGAAAAGATTCACTGTGATCCCTCTGATCCACTGGCATCTGATACACTAGCAATACCTAATTTATAATATGATTATTATTTGACCACCGATAATCATTCACAAGGATTACTTAGTTTCAGTACATATTTTCTAGTGAAATAGGGAGGTAGGCTGGACAAAGCAGATCATTGTATGACACAGCTAGCATTGACACTTGTACTAAGTGCAGTGAATGTAGAAACATGCTAAAACAAACTGTATCGTCTCTATTATCACTTAATTCTTTATTTTTACTGCAGCAGTGCCTACAGGCACGAAGATTGACACCCAGTACCTCAACCTCTTTAAAACTTTAAAGACCTTAAAACATGAAACCCAGTCTTTTAATTAGAGCTCTTCCAAGTTTTTGATAAGAGCAGAAACAGGAGGGAAAAGCAAGGAGAGCAATGCCTTGTTCCTGAATGCAGCTGCAGCTTGCACAGGGGCACTGAGCAGCTGTGTGACTGCTCTCACCTCAGGCCATGCAAGCAAGGGGACAGCGCCAGCTCGCAGGATGACACGAGGAGCCAGGGCCCTGACGTTGGGCTTGGCATGGAGACGGCTGCACACAAGCTGGACAGAGACGGCCAGGGAATTTGGAGAACAGCTATGTGTGGCACGGCATGTGGGCTCATGGCAGTTATAAAAGATACAAAAGAAGAGAGCCAAGGGAACATATATTCATTCTTTATGAGTTTTAGCAAGAGACTTCCTCAGTAAATTCTTCCCTGGTCTATATACTTAACATAGTGTTGTTTCAACCCTTTGAACAGATACAAATCTGCCCAATATCACTAAGCAGATGCATACTCCACGCTCTCTTTTATTTAAATCTATTTATAGATATTAAATGGTAGATATGGTAAAGTAGTTTAATTGCTATGCCTGAAGATGGAGGAGTTATCACACATAACATTGCTAATAGCACTCAGATACTTATTGTGAAGTAGTCCCGACAGAATAATCATCTGTAAATATTTATTTTTGCTGGTTTGTTTTGTTTTGTTATTCTTCATCATGAGCCTTGTAAGTGGAAAAACAGAGCTGTCTGAAATGTGCTCTTTGTAGTTTGATTAAAATCAGTGACTAAATTCCCTCTGGTGAATCCAGTCACCAGTTCATACTGTCCCCTTTCTCACCAGCCTTTAGCAAAACACAATTGGTATTTCAAATTTTCAGAACTACCCAGATGGCTAACACACCTCAAGGTAAACCCTATAAATCTTGTACATCTAGCAGTGAAAAAGACTAACTTCATTTTGCTCTTTTATGTCTGCAGCTATTCACATATGGGGCCATTTTCTGACAGAAAGAAGTGCTCTGGCCTCGGAAACCTCTCAAGTTAAAGCTATGGCTAGATGCTTAGCTGGCATACAAATATTCTTATACATTATATTCCCTGAGCCTTGTTGGGATGCTGTTTTCCAAAGCAAATATAAATCAATGCACAGATGGGGCTTAGCTACTGTAAAACCTACAGAGCATATTAAAGCAGAAATCAGAAACATCCTCTGGAGATAGATGAGTTATTAGCTTTTGTTTCATCTGTTATCAGGCAAGAGGGGGCTATACTAATCCTAATTAACAAGATAGAAAATTTCCAAATTGTCCCTTTATATTTAACAAATATTTATATTGTATTAGTTTATCATCCTGGTGTTTCATCCAAATCAAAAAGTGGTCAGAGAGTCTAAATTTTTCATCTACTTTAATATATCTTCATACCCTCATTTCTTGACTATATTTTAACATCCTGAGTGATATATATTTGTCAATCATTTCATGTCATGCCAATCATGTTTGTCTGACATCCTGTTTTGAAATATAAGTCTACATTACCCTGCTTAACTTCATGGTCAGAATGATTCTAAAATATCATTTAAAGAAGCAGGTAAGTACACAGTCTACAATGAAATACAAATGTTTAGTTTTACACAGAATCACAGAATGCTTAAGGTTGGAAGGGACCTCTAGAGATCATCTAGTCCAACCCCCCTGCTCAAGCAGGGACACCTGGAGCACGTGGCACAGGGTGGCGTCCGGGTGGGTTTGGAAAATCTCCAGAGAAGATTTACTGTGTCGTCTTTTACTGCCTTCTCAAGAAGAGATTGGGAGATTTTTTTTTTTCTGCAAACTATTATAAATATTCATTTTTGGATGTGTTTTGACATAATGTAATACTCCAATGATTGCATTTCTCAAATAACAACATCATAATCAAACTATTACTTACATTTAGATGAAGCTGGTTAGTCCACTGGCCAATTACTTTGTATTCTGTACTCTTGTTGGTGATTTGATACTGAAAAATATCATAGCGTCCAGGAGCATCTCCATTTTCATTGAAGATAACAGGTGTTCCAGCACTCCCTAAAAAAATTAAAAAGTAATTAGGATAAATACCTGTAAAGCAGTTTTCCAGAAAATATATTTTTGGGGAAAAATACTAATTAGAGACAGCTGATCACACTGAGCAGATCTTCTTAATGTAATGCCAATATGGTAATAAATCCAGAAACCTCACGAAGAAAATTTATGATATTATAATCACCACAAAATCTACTGTATATCTATCATGGGAGCTAATCAAAATAATTTAAAAAGATTATGCTTCACAACATTCTTTCTGTGCTACAGAACATAAGCCAACTCTGAGAAATCAGAATTGGAAGACCTCCTTTTGACTTGCAGAAGGGCAATGTGAATTCACTTTACTATGCGAGTACAGTGCAGTGGGATCTACAATCTTAATCTTCTAAAAGATTATCCCTGTTAAACACAGAAAAAAAAAGAAAGAAAAGCATATCACCTACCAACACTCATAACAGGCTTAGTGAAATAAGTGTTTTAATCTGGATAATGTGATGAAATTCCAGCACTAAGCACCTATGTAAAAGTGTATTATCAAAATCAAGTAAATTGGTTTTCTCCTCCAGATATGACACCACCTGACAGAAAGATCCAAATTAGAGCACAATGAGGAAGCCCCTCAGGGTGAGATCCCTTCAAGGCCCTGCACTCCCACCGAGACTTTTCACAGTATCAGAAAATTACAGAATGGTTGATGTTGGAAGGGACATCTAGAGATCATCTAGTCCAACCCCCCTGCTCAAGCAGGGACACCTACTTTTGACAAAGTATTTTGTTCTTCTGTTTTGTAAAACAGTTCTTGTGGTAAACTGACATTCAGTCAAATAAAGAGTGCTTGGAGAGTGGCAGGTGGTCCATAAGTCAGTAAGTCACCTACGTAGCTCTGCCAAGAAATCTATGGCATCAGAAATTAGATTTGAACAACCATGGTACAGGAGTATTAAAAAAAAAATCTGTGACATAGATTAAAGAACCAAAAAACATGAGAGACACACACTTAACTGTCACAAAATTTTAGATATCTGTTTGTGCTTTGCCCCCAGTTCTTTTGACAGAATGGAGGGCAAAAAAAAATAGCAAACTACAATGCCTGAGCAAGGAAATTATTCTTGACCGCACAAATAGCAGATTGGACCAATAAATTTTTCCCATGAAATAAGCACATACTCAACACTAGTATGGTATGAAGTATGAGTAGGCATTGAGGAAATGTTCAGGCTATTATTCTCAAGTAGTAATAGGAGTCATCTTTCCATTCAGTAGCTTTTAAAAAATCTATGGAGAAAGCAAATATCTTTTCCCGAGAGATGCAGAATGTCCTTTGTATCCCTTAAGACAAATGGGAATTTCAGATATTCTTACACTCAGCAACAACAGTGAGAACTTATAATCTATTGTTGTTTTTAGAAATGTCATGTAGAAAAGAGAGAGACTATTGTACAGGCCAGAACAATACTTCTTTTTGACACAGTAGTGTTCTCAGCTAAAGCATAACAGGATTTCATTTTGTGCACTTCAGTCATCCTGCCATTCCAACAGAGTGAAACAAAATCCCTCTCATTTAGCAGAAGTTAAGACAACCTTTGCTAAATTAATAAAGTTAACTTGGTAAGAGCTGCAATTAGAAGATTTGGATTAAAAAAATGCTTAGGATGAAAATTTACAGGAAGAACATAGTATCCCTCTGTTGAAAAAAACAACCAACCAACAACAACAAAAAAAAAAAAAAAAAAAACACAGATTTTAAAGGATACCATAACAATCAAAGGAGATAATGCACTAGTGATATTGCCATAATTAGTAGGTATGGTTAACAAATGGTTAACAAGTGCCAGACCATTATTTTCATCTGTCTGTTTATAAGTATATGTCTTTTAGTGCATTATTGTTTTAAGGAATGCACCATTTAATATGTCTAGAACAAGAAGATAGATAGCACTCTGTTGTGCTAATAAAATAATAGGCATAAGACAAAATGCCTACATAATCATGAAAATAAAGCTTACGGGCTGCTGAAGGAAAACAGAGGATTGTAGCTGAAGTTCCCAAAATTATGAACTGAAGATGGTAGTGGAAACTTTGAAAGGGTAAGCACAGAATAGAACTAGAGGGATCAGGGCTATAAATAAATCAGCAGTAGTTAATTACTGGTCCTAAAGAATGTTAATCCCACTTGAAGAAAAATATACCCTGATGAATGATCCAGTCAAAACATTTATCTGAGAATGGATTATCTACAAAATCAACGTGTTGCCTAGCAAAATATCTGTCTACGGATAGTCTACTCAGTACATTTTCTCAAAATAAAGACAAATAGACCATTCTGTGGAAAACCTGATTAACATTACATAGATTATTTAACTCTGTAGCGGATCATCAAAGCATCAATATCAGAGGTGGAAGCATCACTAGGTTCACTGTAACAAACCCACTGAGTTGTTACACAAGTGCTTTTTCTTGAGAATCACATCTGCAGAGCTGAGCACTCTCAATATCATCTGCTGCAATGTGCTGCTCTGTATGCAAGAAATGTTTTGTTATCATTACAGCGAACTGCATGTTAGTACCTGTTCAAAATGTATCTTTAATTACTCAGCTTACTGGCCTTTAACTGTCTGCTAAATCTAAATGTAACACACTGAACAGAAAGCAATATAGATCACAACACTGGACTGAAGTAGCTAGCCCAGATTGTATAAATTCCAGTTTATATAAGAAGATTTTGCATAACTGCACTGAATTTTCCTTGGATAGAATTTTTATCCTAGAAAATGAGCTTGAACATTCTCATACAGGAGATATTCTTATCGAGCACTTCGGAAAAATAGGAAAAATCTATTTTTGCTTGGTAAAAATGTCCCTGCAAAGCTTATGTAGACCATTTTGCAGAATGCAATGCAGCCCACTTAAAAAAAAAAATCATTTCATAGTTTCATAATCATTTTTATCATAATTTGTCAGCAATCATTTAACAAACAGTTAAAGAGCAAAGAGCGAACTGTGCCTTTTCACATTTTACTCTCTATGTGATTATGCTGCGGTGCATCATTTTAACCCATGATTGACTCAGGTAATTGTACACAGTCTCTAACATCTTAACTAAAATTTTCATATAGTCTAGATATCTAAAACAGGCATGGCATTATCTCAAGAATAAGCTTAGATAAAATAAGAAAACGATGAATGAACCTTCATCTTTTTTGAGTCTTTTTTTTTTTTTATGAACATAGTTAATAACTTATTTTAAGATCTATTCCTGTCATTGTTATCTATGTTGAGCAATTTCAGAATACCTAAGAAAGTTTTATTTTTCTGATGTGTCACTGTAGACTCATAAGTGGAAGGGGGGGAAAAATCCAGAATGAAATATTGTCCAGAAACTGAACAAAATGTTTTGAAATCAAACTTCTGCAGTTTGTTTTGTTTTGTTTTGAGGAAAAAAAATCACAGGCCTTTTAATCTCCTAAACTGGTAAAAGACCAGTCTAGGAGTTGCACCTTAAAGCTAGCACAGGTTGAGGCAAAACCTGGTAAAATATATGAACCTTATGAACCCTATAGCAGGATGTATTGTAGAATATTTCTGTTACTATCCAGCTGAAGAAAGTGCATATCCATGTGCCAGGTCATTACAACAAGAAAGAGCAAGTTACAGTTTATTAAGTCTAAAAAAACATTTACTTATTGTAGATACAAAGTAATAATCTGGTACTAAAAAAATTCTCCTTCCTTCCCAGTTTACAGCCAGCAGCATTAAATGACTCTTAGTGACTCTTAGCCAGCACATTAACTAAATATTACTGAAACAATGTAGCTGTGACCTCAGTGGTTTATGAGCCTTTCAAAATGCAGTTTAAACTAGTGAGAAATTTTATTTAGACAAGAAAAAGAGGCAAATGAAGAAGGTTTATAATACAGAATCCAGGATGAAATGGAGCCCTTTAAAATTTTTAATGCTTTGCAGTGTTGACAAGGAGGACTATGATAAACAACTATTTTAGGGCAGGTCCCTTCTCTGCTGGACTTGAAAATTCAGCTCCTCCCAAATAAATCCTTAAAATGTTTAGATACTGTTAAGATTCTTAAGTCATTGCTCAGCAGTTACCTTACACAGTGGGTGCCTACTTTATCAAATTGCAGTTCACACATATGTAAAACCTCCCTTCTCCTAAGGCAAGGTGTAATTTTAGCTCTCTCCGAGGCCCCTGCACACAAGTGGAATAGCTGCAAGTGTAGTGGCAAACTGCACGGAAAGTCATTATCCTGTAATGAATCCACAAAATACAAATAGCAGAGACCCTTTAAAAATATGCTATCCTAAAAATTTGAAATCTGCTAAATTAAATCAATTGCCCTGATTTTTTTTTAACTGCTAATAAATAATTTGCTACTTTAATACCTTAAAAAGTGGTTGTGCTCATAAGCCCCACAATTGTTGTTACAGAATACTCCAATTTTAGTAAAGCCAATGCCCCTGCAAAGTGTGTTGTGGTATTTCACCAAATTTTAATGTCTGGATATTCAGTTTTTCATTTTTAATGAAATTTAAAAAATTATGCAAGGTGTCTTCATCCTCTAAACTTGACCTCATAGGCTGTCTGTCTTGTGAAATGCACTGCGGCCAGCATGAATTCAAGGATATGTTTAGGTAAATGAAATCAGTCAGTTTAATATACATTACAATACAGTTAACTGGTGCATGTACAAAACTTCAGAATGCACCATCTGCTATATCAATTACTGTTGAATTCAACTGTACTGGAAGGACCTTGGAATTACAGGATTATCTAATTTCATTAATTTTTATAATTAATTTCAAGTGATGATAGCTGTTTCTATTAAAATTATTAGCTTTTAATTTTAATTACCATTCAAAAAAGAAAAAGTGACTACAGCGACATACATGAATTAAGTTGTTCTCCTTAAAGTAGAAGAAGGGAGGGTAATCATTTGAACTTTCAGTTCTTAGAATTCCCACAGAGGAAGAATGCATCTCTAGAA